CCATGCCTTCCTTGTCACAGTTTTTTTACCGTACCTATTCTTAATGTAGTGTCGTGTGCTCCTTCGAGCGGCATTCATGAAAACCATTCACACTCCCCACTGTCGTTATTACCCCCTTGACCCTTGTGCTGGCGTGCCTTATTTTGGCAAATTTAGTGTGGCCTCACCACACCTGGTATTCACATTTCTTTCGATCGGCTAACTCGATTCGGGACTCCTATCCAGATCCCCCTAATAGTCCCATAGATCCGTTTCTTATCTTTCTGGCTGACCGATTTCATTCGATTCCAGTCCCAGTGTACGTTTTACTCTAGGATTAGCCCATCTAAAGAGAAGGGGCCAAGATGAACAGGTGTGATGAGGTCACACTAAACTTGCCAAAAAAAGCACACATTTTGATGAGTGGAATGTAAAAAAGTCAGAAGTTGTGGTGGGCCGGGAGTTGGATAGGAGAGTAAGGAGTAGACAAATGGGCCAGGACAGGATAGTGTAATCGTTTTCAGCAGAAAGTTGGTCAAGGGATTGACTTCATTTGTCTCTTTGACGAGTTTGTAGATTGATGCTAAGAATAGCAAGACTCACTGATGATGCCGGTGAAATGTCTGAGAATGTACCAAGTCCACGGTCTGATGCTAGGAGTTAAGATAACTACTATGGAAGAATATTTAGTTTAATAAATGTAAGGAATGATAGTTGTTTGGTAAATATTTGATCAAAATATGACTACAAAAGGCATTATAATGCTTAAGAATTACACTAATTACTTTCTCTCGGCTTTACACCAAGTCATGCTATTATAAATAGAAGCATAATAGATGCAGCAGAGAAGAGGTAGTTAGTTAACAGGAGACGTGTGTGGCCATAAACGAAGTCCGTGAAGTGAGATTAATCCGGTGCATACGCTGCACGATGATAAAGAAATCTATGACCTCAAGTTAGTTTCCCATCCAGCTTGAGAATTCAAACTTTGGGGGCCTGTTCTGTGAGGTAGGAGTAGACATACTATCAAGGGCTTGAAGCAGTGTAGAGCATAATGCTTCGATCAGTACGGACTTGGTGGCAGTGATCGAGAGAAATCACTGAATGAGAATGACAAGAGTTGGCTGAGCTTTCGTTCATTATATGATGAACATCATCAGAGCTGGAAGTTAGTCAATTAAAAGTTAACACTAACTTTAACACAAGGTCGAGAACACCTAGTATGAGAGATAAATAGCCAAATTGATGATGCCGGCGAAACATCTGAGTTGCACCAAATCCATGCTCTGACTATGGAAAGTATCATGCTTACCATGGACTCCGGACGAAGTGCGTTCCTCGAGGTTTCCCTGAAAATACGACCAAGTTGCGAAATTGAGCTCGAGCAACTTTTTTACACTAAATTATTGCCGGTTGTGAGTCACGCAAGATCGCCAACAGTCCGACTGACTGGCGGAATTCGGAGCCGGTCCAATGGACGTCGTCTTGGGTCGTCTTTGCTTCGTCAGCACTGGCAAGACGACTCATTCGAACCCGCCCAGCTCGACGGACTCTGACGGCGATTGGTTGGCGTTTCTATTCGGACGCAGCATGCGGCCATGCAGGCTTGCATGTTTTTGCTCTGGTGTGCGTTGGTTGGCTCCTAGGGCCGGGTCTACGAGACGACGGTCTGCCAAACATGTCTCCAAAGCAGACAAGACCAACGACAGCCACCAGAAAGTAAATGCCCACCCACCCACACACGAATATGCAGACATGCACATACGCATGCCCATAAAGTCGGGCCTAATTACACCCGATCATAGTCGCCTGAGACGCCTAACGTTAGGCGCATGACATCCGCGCACAGTTGAGTTGCCATTCCGTTGTGAGGTCAGGTCGGATGAACTCTGACCCGTTCCCATTTCTCGGTCATTGGCCACCAGCGACCACAGTTTGCAGGACTGAAAACGAGCTGTATCACTTTTTCACCGGCCCATTACTGCGATTGGCCCACCCACCATCTGGCCCTTGGAAGATGAACCTGTTCTAATATACTACTCCAGAATTGCGTTAGATGAATTAATACTTAATCAAAAATATTAATCGTTTTGGCTTAAAGAAGTGCTAGTTTAGGGCTGTAGAACATGAAAACCGAATACACTTAAAACCAAGATAAAGATGGAAAGCTTTATGCAGTAAAACCAATGACATGCTATCAAGAATAGTCACCATCGAGTACTCGTGAAGGCGCTCCAATGAAACAGAGCTAGTCTCCAGATCAGAAATCTGCTTAACAAGCCAGGTAAGCGTAGAGGAGAATTGAAGTGCGTGAGTAATGATGAGGCCGGCTAGACCGGGAGAGATCAGATCACGGCGAGCCACAGCTAGGAAAGCGGCCCCCAGCATAAAAGCGGCACCAAGGAGCTTATCATTAAAGGTTAACATATCGAAGGAAAAGAGCACAGATTAAAGCTAAAAGAAGACATTTGACAAAAAAGATAAAGTTGTAACTTAAGAAAAATAATACGATCATCTTGATGATGTCGACTCAGAGTAAGAACTGCCCATAAATCTGTCTATAACTATCTGTCAGCCTATAAATAGCGGTGATAAAAATAGAAAAAATCTTAGGCTTGGAGATAAAGACACCTGTGGTTAGTTGGTAGTTCACAAAGAGAGATATAGTCTCCTTGCTGGTCTCATCAGCAGCTTTGCCCAAATA